GAACAACTCGCACCCTCCATCTTACCCTTATACGCTGGAAGATATCTATGCATTCGCCGAGCAGCTCGGGTGGCCTTGGAAGCCATCCAAAACCCGTCCATTCGCTACCATCTTCAAATACATTGGGTTCCTCTGGGACCTGGTCAACAAAACCGTTGAAATTCCGGCCGAGAAAAAGGCGCGGTACCATGCCAAACTTGCCCCCTGGATTGGCGGCGCTAAATTCAACCGTAAAGAAGCCGAATCCATCCTCGGTACTCTCGTCCACTGTTCGCTTGCCATTTCCGACAGCCGAAATCGCCTTCCCGGGATCTCAAAGTTTGCGTCCTCGTTTTCTCACGCCAGCTCGCCGTTTAGCAGACGGGAGCCTACTGCGGCAGTCCTTGAGGACATCGACTGGTGGAGCAACGAGTTGGTAAAGCCTTTTTGCGGCTCTGCGTTGGTTCGCCCTCCTACCATCTCTACAATCCCATTCTGGGTTGACGCGTCCACCTCGCACGGAATTGGTGTTGTCTTTGACGACGTCTGGAGGTCATGGAAGCTCTGCCCGGGCTGGGATGTTGATGGGCATCGCATTGGCTGGGCTGAGATGCTCGCTATTGAGTGCGGATTACGCCTTGCGATCCATCGTGGTTACAGCGACATTCATTTCGAAATCCATTCGGATAATGAGGGAGTTATTGGTGCTTTGGATGCTGGGAAAAGCCGTAATCCAGAGCAGAACCGCATCCTCCGCCGCATCGTTTCGCTCATGCGTTCGCACTCCATCTGGATTACTATTACACAAGTTCCGTCCGACCTGAATATTTCGGACAAGCCGTCGCGGGGTAAACCGCCTGTTGATGCTCGCTACAGTCTAGCTCCTTCCTCTTTTAAAATACCCTACTGCCTTACTTCCCTTCTTTGCGATGCCTAAATTTAATATGTTCAACCTTGTAGTTCAACCGTGTTATTTGCTTGTTATCAGAACTCGAATTTGAACGCCTGGCAGTCCGGACCGGTCGGCTATTAGAGGCTGCTGTGATACACGGCCAAATACTTCTTGCCTCTTGCCCTCATGCGCACCGATGACCCTGCCCTCTCACCTGGAAACACCGCAATCCCTCGCTGGGCTCGGGCGTCCAAACATAAAAGTCGGGCTATCCTATCCCCTCGTAACCCAAAGCCCAAGTCGACGCGCTCAAGGCCTTCGCACAAAAGGCACGCCATAGCCCCTATCCTTCCCACACCGCGAATCTTTCAGCATTTTCCGGGGATTTCCACCGCGACGCAGCCACCATTCCGGGCCTCTAAAAGGGCTCGGGCTAACGTCCAGAAGGCCCTGGAACATGGCTGGGCCGACTCGACGATATCAAATTTTGGCTACACCGTGGATCGCTTCCTCGGCTTTTGCGCCGATGAAAAAATCCCGCCGAAATTCCAGCTCCCTGCTGACGAATTCGTTCTATGCGCTTACGCCGCGTCCGGCGCGGGTGTTCATGCTGGATCTACAGCACGAAATAATATCGCTGCGTTGAAGGCCTGGCATGTCGCGCAAAACCAGCCGTGGAAGGGTGGTTCGCGGCTACACTATGTGTTAGCAGGGGTCGAAAATTTGGCCCCCGAATCGTCCAAACGCCCTCCTCGTCCTCCGATCAACACTGAAATGCTTCGCGCTTTATACGAGGGCCTGGACTTTACGTCCCCACGGGATGTCGCTGTTTTTGCTGCAGCATGTGTTGCATTCTGGGGCCAATGCCGCCTGGGCGAAATTTTACCGCTCTCTGGAACCGCCGCAGCGCTGATTCATAAGCCAACTCGCACGCACATATCACGTTCCCATCGAAACAAGCGCTCCACGGTCTTACGTCTTCCACGCACAAAGACGAAGAAATCCGGGGAAGATGTGGTACTGGTGGCGCAGCGAAAACCTATCGATCCTGAAATCGCTCTCCACGCCCATCTCAAACTCAACAATCTTCCCTCATCTGCTCCGTTATTTGCGTACCATACGGCTACCGGTTTCCAAACACTCACGCGGCCCAAGTTCTTGCGACGATGTAACGAAATTTGGAAAGCTGCTGGCTATCCGCACACCACGGGCCATAGTTTCCGGATTGGTGGTACAACCGAGCTCCTCCTCGCCGGTGTCCCGCCGGACGTCGTGAAAGCCATGGGACGCTGGTCATCGGACGCGTTCCATAAATATTGGCGCTCCTTGGAGGATCTGGTCCCCATGCATGCGTCCAATATTCCAGCGAGACGTACGAAATCGCCTGCCCGTCATTCAGGTTAGCCGATGGCTCTGCCTCGTCTGGGCTGTCTTTTGGGTCTTCCTCACCATTCCCATCGGTCTCGCACCCTGGAGTCGGCTTCACGCAGCCGACTTCTCTCCCGACAAGCTCAATATATTCTGTCTACTTTGCTGCTCCCATCTCTTGCGCGACTCGGAACAAAGTCACAAGATGGGAGCACTGGCAGAGCTTGTGGAGGCAGTGCGTTGTCTTGTGACAGTGGAGGGATGTGACGGTGAACCCCTGTCTGTCTCTCTTGCTTCCTACCGACACATCCCGCCGACTATCTCGACTTTACGTTGCCTAACCCAACTTCCAGCTAATTTTCTGCCCACCCACCCACACCTTTTTTTTCTGGATAGTATTATTGCAGCATAGTAGACAGTTTGTATTGCAAGGCCGGTGGGTCTTCCTCACCATTCCCATCGGTCTCGCACCCTGGAGTCGGCTTCACGCAGCCGACTTCTCTCCCGACAAGCTCAATATATTCTGTCTACTTTGCTGCTCCCATCTCTTGCGCGACTCGGAACAAAGTCACAAGACGGAAATATGGCGGGAATATGCACGAAAGCGTGGAATGTCAATGCCCGTGACTCTCCGGACGAGCAGCACGTTTTGTATCACAACATCAGCCCTGACCTCCCCGCCAACGTGGCGCTGGCCCGATTGGTCGGTGTGGACCCGAAGGGACTGACCGAGCGGCTCATGTGGAGGGGAGACGTTTTCGTGGCACGAAGACGCAAGTGGACTGAGCCCTCGATCCCGGCGGAAGGACTGCACATAGATTATGTCGATGTGCCTCTGGAGGCGATGAAACTGCTCAATTCGAGTCTCATACCACAGTGGTATCGCTCAAAGGCGTGGAAGAGTTTTCATCAAGAGGAGCTGGAGAAAAGTGTGTTATACTACCAGTCAATTTGTCTCACGTTTTTACACACATTATTTCAGGCAAGTCACACGGACAATGGCGACTGCCCTGGCCATTTAATGCTGGGGGGACAGCGAGCAGCAGAGAGATTGCAGGAGAACGAGCCGAGATGCTTCGACAATTAATCACCTACAGCCAGCCACCCGATGAACTGAAATCCACTGTGCGCGATGTACTTTTGTATCCCGCCGACGGTGGCGAGCCCCGCATCATACCGATGCGTTTATACCCCCCCATCCAAGATTTCCCCTCTCACGAAATCCATTTTCATGACATTAACCTCGACTTGCGTGCAATATACGGACTGGAGAACATTTTCGCGACCCGTCGACTTTCTCTCGGCTACCCAGATCACGAGATGACAATGTACTATAACCTCAGCCCCGCACTTCCGATCAATTTGGCAATGGCCAAGGTGGCTGGCGTGGATCTCAAGAACCTGGACAGACGGCTGGTGTGGAGAGGGGATGTGATTATGCTCAAGGGTCTGACCACCGAGTGGGACTATCGTACGCGGACCTTTACTCCTGCCCACGCTTCGGACATGCCATCCGACGTGATCCAAGCTTTCAACTCCCGCCTCGTCCCCGATTTGTACGATTCCCCTCGGTGGAGATATGCTATCGACAATGAGGAACTGTATGGTAGGTCTCACTCAGTTGTGATATTTTCCGGCTGAACATACTGTGGCGCAGAGAAGGCGCGGCTAGTGAGCGCTGACATCGAATTCCAAAGAATATCGGGTATGTTTGACTGACAGGACTTCTCGCAACTCGCTCAATACTAGCTGACAGATAAAATGAGGAGACTTCTTGAGCAGCTCAGAACCATCCATCCCCGAGAAGATCCGCACAAAGCCGTCTTCCGTGACGTTATTCTGTACCCCGCCGACGGTGAACCCCGAATCACGCCGATGGTTTTCAACAAGGAAGGCGCCGAGGCACTGATCTACACAACCTGGAAGGGGGACGACGGCAGTGACGAGCGATTCACTATCAACATTGATTTGCGGGGGCTCTATGGTCCAGAAAACATGTTCGCAACGCGGGCCGACGGCTGTGAACTCAGGTCGGGAGTCAAATGGACCTGGTATTATAATATCAGCCCGGCGCTCCCTGTAAACCAGGCGATGGCTCGATTACTCGGAGGCGAATTTTATCGCAACACAAGCAGCCTCGGACGGCGTTTCTGGTGTACCGGTGACTTGGTGGCCGTCAAGAGAGCTGAATGGCTCTCCCACCCCATAGAACATCTCGATATGGGCCCCGAGGACTTAGAAAATCTCCACTCCTCGTTGCCCAACTGGTACAGCAGCTTTTACTGGGAACGTTTCCTGGACAATCAGATATGGCTTGGTGCGTTGCTTCAAATTCATGAGGTATTGTCTTGATAGGTCCGCAGCGAAAGAGATCGAGGAGGCTGGGAGGCCTCGGAGCTGGCAAGAGTCTTTCAATGGACTTCTGTCTGGCAAGCAAAATAATTGTCAGTTAATACATGGTATATTATCGTACAGTGCCTTCCCTCTAGAATATGGCTGAAAGGTGGTCCAGACAGATCGATGGCGATGATCGCGCAGCTGGAGTCCATGAGTATGTCATTCTTGAAATGAGTACTGGGTCGCTTGCTCACACTATTGGCTTATTCAAGCTCCACGACGCTCTTTTTCTCCCCGTCAGAACTACTAGTGTGCATGCAGATGTAGGCATACATATGAATTCCTTTCTCTGTCACACAAATAAGCCCGTTTGTTAAAAAAGATACAAAAAGATAGACGGCCGAATGAGATGCAAAAGAGAGTGCTGCCCCTGCAAGGTTCGAACTTGCGATCTCACGATTGATGTGGTTGTATGCATCATAACAGTCGTGCGCCTTCACCAACTGGGCCAAGGGGCAGTTAGCGGCGGGCGGGGGAGTGTCGTCGGGTGTTTATCTTGCCTCATGGGACAAAGGAAAAAGAGCGAACCCACCAGACGCGCGCTTAACCGGCATGGACCGTCTCGAGGACAGAGATTCTGCAGGGTGACCAATGGAAACACTCGTCTACTCGTCAGTCTATCACACGTTCCTATTCTCTAATTTAATCTGATACCATACTCTAACCCAGAATAAACACTCTACACCGATCCCGATCCTGCAGGCAAGAACGTGAGCCCGGTAAAATTTCCTTCGTCCCTCAAAATCGCCCGCTTATTCCCGCCGTCAAGATCCGTCACCCAGAGCGAACCCAGCAGGTCCGTCACGTATATCTGGGTTCGTTCGTCATTTATTCGCATTCAACTAGTTCTGCACACGAATGAGGGGGGACGCACCTTGTTGCCCTTGGCATCAATGGCCAACCCAACAGCCTCATGGAAGCGCTCCGCGATAAGCAGCTCCTGACTCGGCCCCTTCGGCGCATTGGTGGGGTTCAGCGGGGCGGAGACGTCCGCGCGGTTGAGACTGTTACCAAACGGCGGGTCCCCGCGGTCCGTCCAATACAGATGGCCGTCGTACAGCTCCAGGTCAATCGGCTCAGGTAAGCTCGTGAACAAGACCTCAACATCCGTCCGACTCCCCGGCTCTACGCCCTTCGGACACTCGAGGGGTGCGCGGAAAATTCGCCCACACCACCCCTTCGGCGAGCCCTTCTGCGACCAGTACACCAGTCCGCGCTCCGTGTCGATCGCAAGACCCACGCACCAGCTGCGTTGGTCTGTCAACGCTTCCGTGGTGAGAGTAGGGACCGAGGAATAGAGCGTCTGGAGCTGCGAGCCGTCGAGGTTGCACCGCATGAGCTTCCCGCCCTCGCGGTCGCACCAGTACAGCTTGTCCTCCGCGGCGTTGTTCGCGCCGCCGCCGAAGACGAGCTGCAGCTGTTTCGGTGTGCGCGTTGCCCCGGTGGGGACGATTGTGATAGTGTCGCTGCCGTCGAGGTTGCAGCGCGCGACGGAGCCATCGAGGCCGGCGAAGGTGGGGCCCATGAGCGTATAGTACATATGCCCTGGAGTTGAGGATCGTGAGCGGAAGGAAGGAAGGTGCGCAGGCGGATGCGCAGGATAATAACACGCACCTTTACCCGGACGCACATCAAGTTGCACCCCATCTGGCCGCGTCGGGAGCCCGCCAACGAGTATCTTGGCCGCGCTGCCGTCCGTAGCAATGGAGCGTATGTCGCCCTTCACGACGTCGAGGAATATCAGGGTATCCTTCTCCTTCTCCCCCTCCGCCTTATCCGCAACCGTCCCATTAGTCGCAAAATACTCATAAAACCCCTTCCCGCTCTTCACCCCCAGCAAACCCTTGCCCACCATCTCCCGCAACAGCGCCGCCGCCTCCGGCCGCACATCCCCCACGGCGGCGTAGTGCTCCTCAATCGCGAGCGCAACGTCGAGCCCGATCTTGTCGATCATAGCGAACACCCCGCGCGAGGGCGGGAGGCCGAAGATGTCGCTCATTATCGCGTCCACCTCTGAGGGGAGGGCGATATCTTGGGCGACGAGGGAGAGGGACTCACGTTTTATGGCGGCCCAGATGCGGTTGAAGAGGAGGCCGACAGATTCTTTGCGACTGAGGGGAGTTTTGGCTTGAGTTAGCGAGCGTGAAATAGGGACAGAATGGTGACGCACACGTGGTAGGGGCGCAACCCGTGCTTTGGTGCTTCTCGTAGTAACAATTCCACCACAGCGGGATCGGTGTGCGGGTTCGGCATCACCTCCAGCGGGCTACCATTCATGTTCTTCGTCAGGATTCATGCCGTGGGTAGCGTGAAATGAGGGAGAGACGCACAGCACCTGCGGCGGCATATAGTAGTGCGTATTCACCAGCCGCGCCCGATTCTGAACGCGCTCGAACATCTCCGAGCCCGTATAAGAGCTGCTGTTGCTCGCCAAGATACAATCGTCTGGCAGTATTGCGTCAAGTTCGCCTAGCAGAGCGATTTTGAGATCGAGGACTTCGGGGACTGAATCGGAACGGAATCATGAGCAATCGAAACCCAAGGCGAACGGCGCAAGACGCACCGACTTCCACAACAATCCATGCGTTCTTTATCGCCTCCGTGCGGTCCTGGAAGACGCTAAGTTTGCCAGGTGAGCCGCCGGGGACATGAGTAGCGATAACGTCTAGCAAGTTTTCAGAGATGAAGGCCGACGCGTCGGTGAGCGCTTTCTCGCTCGGATCCCTGTACCCCCAAAACAATTAACGCAGTAACGGAGAGGTCGGGAGGAACATACACAAGATGGACGGTCTCGCCCTGAGTGAGCCACATGAGGGCGATGCGCCGCCCGAGCGTGCCAGCGCCGAGGATGACGAAGGGCTTGCCTGCGAGGGACGCGGGTCGCGTGTAGGGCATTGTGAGGGAGAGGAGGGGAAGGGTGCGGTCTCGCGGATCGCGCGGGTGTACGACTTATAAATGCGTCGGCGTGTGGGCCGGGATCCACGGCGTCTGGAGACTGGTATCAGAGACCCCGACCGACGATTATATTCGGGAGTAGATGTGGGGTCATGCATGGATATAGTAACCAAAACAAATGATGGGAACATGATGAAGGAGTTTGCCGAGAGACGGATGCCGCGAGCCGCTTCGTTTGGTGCCTGAGCTGGCAGTGAGGAAGTACAACTGTGGCCCAGGCAAGGAGGCAAGGCGTCCAAGCTGAATAGCAGGAAGCACAACTTACCAGGTTCTTTGTCTTCAATGAATTTCGACGAGGTAACCGGGGAGTACTAATGGCCGAGAAGACCGAGGAGCTTGGGGATCCAATTGGGGATCTGAACTTACCCTCCAGGCCGCGTTTCTATTGGAGTCCATGTCACGAATATTAATACGATAGCTTACGCGAAGTTGTCGGAGTCTCACCAATAACTATCAGCTTTCATGAGCTATGCCACTCCACCGATCAATGGCGATTGGTGAACATAATTGAAACTGTCGCGTTATAAAATGTCGAAGGTTGCTTTAGGGGAGGAAGCGGTCTATAATCAGCACAGTTCAGACCAGGTGAGAAGAACTCGGAACAAGTACGGCGGAAATTACTATCAGTAGAACTGAAGTTGCGTCCAAGGTTGTTTTTCCGTGTTGGAAAATCACAGCTCGAGGATATCCAAGCGTGAATGAAGTGAAACAACACATCCTATCACTACCTGTTCTGCGTGGAATTCAGACCTGCAAACTCAGATCCAACTCAGATCTAGAACCGGTGGAAAATGGTAGACAAAACACAAAAGGCGGCAACTCGGCACGCTGCCGGCATCGGGAATCAACCAGCGCCGTAACACGATCATGGTTGCTCCCAACCGCCACAACGCGCGCGCGCGCCTGGCCTTCGCCCTCGAAGACAACAGAAGACAACCAAGTTCAGTTGGCCACCGCCGCCCTCGCCGAGATGCGTGGAACGTTTCACCTAGGTGGCGTTCGAAACCGCCAAGGACCAAGCCCAAGCAATAGCGATTCGCCGCCAATCATCTATGTTTTTCATCCGGATGCACAACGAGGCAAAACGCAGATCATCGCGGTGTGAAGGAATCCCCGCCTAAGTATCGCAATCGATTACGCAGGAGAGATGGGGCGAAACAGGTACTATCCTACCGACTTTCCAGATGTATTTGACTTTCCATACTTAGGACCTCCTGGAAAAAAAGAGGGCAAGAGTACCCAAGAGTCTCCTGAAAAAACATACGATCGGACCTAGAACCAGCCGGTGTATAGCCTTCTGCCAACGGGTACATTCCGACACAACAGCTATAAATGAAACCATTCGCTCGCCAAGCCATCTCCCCATCTGCCTCGCGTTATCTTCTGCGCGCGCTCGTCTCCCCTTCCCATCGACAATGCCCGCCGTCCTCTTTCACCTACACGGGAAGTCCCCCAGCACGGACGGCATCTCCATCTCCCTCGACGTAGAGAAGGGTCTCGAACACCTCCGCAAAACCGTCGCGGCGCAATTTAGTGTCGCCCTCCCTAGCACGCTTTCCTTCCACAAGTCCGCACCGCCGGACACTACGCCGAGCGATTTGCAAGTTCTCGCTACAACTGAGGCGGTACAAGGGGAGGGAACGGTCGCGCTGCTTGTTAGTGCGAAGAGGGTGCGTTGCCTGTTCTGATGTGTTCGCGCTCTTTTTCCGTTTTCGTTTTCAGTTATATATTGTGGCTGCATTTTATTTTTATTTTTGCGATGGGCGGAGAACGAATGCTAACGGCACCGCAGGTCCGCCCCGTTCCCAGCCCAACCGGCGGCATCCCCTTCATTGGCGGGTACAGCGAGCTTTACCCCGACTTTATGGGCAACTACCAGCGCCTCCTCACGCGGTACGGGCATATTGTGCATGTTAGCTATCTCGGCAAGGTATGCGTGTCTCGTTCCTCGACCTCTTATTCAACTTCATTGATTGGTTGGGTTGTGTAGTCGGTGTATCTTACAGACGACCCCGACTGCGCGGGAATCGTAGTACGTACTCAGCGAGGGCGAGTTTTTCAGCAAGAACGTGCGTCTCCTTCTCCCCTTTCCATCCCGAACTCCATCTGAACTTAATTAATTGAACCGCCACCAGGTCGGCGCAAACCACCCGCTCTTCCCCCTCAAAATGACCGTCCCCAACGGGCTCTTCACGGCGGACTCGGCCAACCCCGCGTGAGGGACGAGCCACGCGTTCATGATGGGCGCGATGGGCGCACGGGCGATGCGTGGGTATGTCAGGAGCATGGACCGGACGGCGGAGAGGCTTGTGGGGTGTTTTGAGGAGTATGTCGCTCGCACTTTGCTTCCTTTCTTTTTCTTTACTCCGCCTCTCTCCGATACTTTATTTGGAGACACGGATTATTGGACGCTCTATTTCCCCTCATTATCTACTCCTCCTTCATCTCATCCGGTTTCGCCACTTGGACCTTCCATACTCGCTTTTGATTCTTCTTTCCCCCG